AGCTTCCACCATGCACAGCTGGTTCAGGAATGGTTTCAAACACATCCTCGCTTCATGACCCTCTATCTTCCACCATATTCCCCTTTCCTCAACCTAATTGAGGAATTCTTCTCTACATGGAGGTGGAAGGTGTATGATCGCCATCCCCATGAGCATGTCTCCCTTCTTCAAGCCATGTGTGAAGCTTGTGGTGATATAACTGCTGAGCAATGTCAAGCCTGGATTCATCATGCCAGGAGATTTTTCCCACGGTGCCTGAACAACGAAGACATCCACTGTGATGTTGATGAAAATTTATGGCCAAAGCAATAAAAAAAACAAACTGTAATGAGCAGCTGGATGTGTCTCTCTTTAACTGGCTGATTGAACTAAAAAGCCTTCCACCTTCATCTGAAATCTCTGCAGCTTTGTTCATTCAAACTATTTTCTGAGTTTGTAAACATACAGATTAGCTGTGAGAATGTAAAGTTTATCAATGATCACATTTGATTTCTGTCTGGGGTTAAATGTGAATGAAGATTTAAAATGTAGCTGCTTAAAATAAATTCTTGATTTTATAAAATCTGCTGATTGTTTCAATAAAACAGCTTCAGCACAACAAGGATATTTACAAACTAATAGAAGCAAATAATCTTTTATTCTAAGGAGTCAGTTAAATGTAAACACAACAATCAAAGTGAGTTTCCAAGTTAAATGAATCTGAACTAATGACTGTGTCTGAAAAGCTGATTTACTGTCAAACACAACAACAACAGAATCACTGAATTTATTTATTTCACTTCACAGAAACATTTTGTGATCTCAATAATCAAAGAGAGCAGTTAAAGAATAACATTGAAGTACAAATCAAAGGTAGGTGATTCACTGAAACACTGAGACTGAGAGTGAAGTTTGAAAATCAAATTAAAACCTAATTATGAAACATGAGAAGATCCAGAAATCTTTCAAACTGTGAGAGATGTCAGCTTCTGATTAAAGTTACAAACAACACAAGAATTAACATTTTTAATGAAATCAATCAAGTGTAGTTACACTGATGAGACAGCGTCAGAACTTAGAAGTCATTTCTTTGAATTTGGAAAACTTTAAAGAAGACGTGTTACTTTCAAATGTTATTTAACTGAAAACAAGATGCTGATAATCAGGACATTTAAATCTTGTAGTTGTAAAGTTGACTCTTGCTGATGTTTAATCATGAATCCTTCTTTTAAGAAGTGTCACAGTTTGCTGTTCACACTCAACAACTT